GTCACACTGCACTTCAGCAAAGTAGGTTGTTGTACGTCTTGAAAAGAAATAGTACCTCTTGACTACGATTCACAACACCAACATAACCAAGCCGAAGAGGAATAACTTTCCCCAGCAAAAAATTTCGGGCATCAGTACCCCTGTCCATAATATCCAACTGAAAGTAACAGCGAAATATAAAGTGACATAAGAAGATAAGCAAATTGTAACCATACCAACACCACAAACAAATTACAGGTTGATAAGTTACCTTAGTAATTACACCTATTGTCCTATAACCTGCATGCATAAACTTTACAGGGTTAGTTGAATAATCCAAAACCAAAACTAGGTCAAATTAAAAATCACGTACATAATATCTATATATATATATATATAATAACTGGCAAGATTCAATAAATTTTATTCAGCCAGCAATTAATAATAATATGAGTTCATTTAATAAAAATAGGTGTTCATTTAATAAAAATATGTTCACCACTTAATAACAATGTGTAACTTTCAGTTACACAATTTATTTTGACAGGTCCCATTTTGGATGGTTCCAATTTCTGTAACGCCTTTTTATTTCTTGAAATACAAAATATTTTTGTTTTTATTTTGATACTATATATATTTGGTATTATATAAATACATATTTCACAACTAATTAAGAATGACTACAAGTACCTCTATTTTCTATTGCAGTCATACAATAATAAAATATATTTTTTCGGATATCACAAAGATATATACATCAAATATTTTCAAAAATCAAATCCCAAAGTCACGAGTCGAAGGGATTTAACGAGACTGATTTGTTGTGATGGGAATTTTGACGATAGAAAAACCATGAATGTTGTATATAAAGAAGTGTTTAATAATTTCTGGATTCACTTTTTTAAATTAATTTTTTTCTCATTTATTAAATTATGATTTTTATTTTATTCTATATTTTTAATTACTTTCTCTTCTAGTATATCGTTTTTCGTGCAAATGCACGGGGTAAAACTAGTTATGGATGAATAATAATACGAATAACAAAAGTTACCATCAGGATCGGCAATTCCAGCCATTTGAAGTGCATCTGAGTTTGCCAGATCTGAATTTGCTGGTGTAACAGCCAATATCAAGCAACTTGGACGCTTGATATATGACATTATCATTGTTCTTATACGTGCTTCTATATCTGACGGTTGATCACCAACAGGAACTTTTGTTAAGCCCGGCAAATCCACAAGAGTAATATCAAGAACATTTGGTGAGAAAATCTTTAAACGTATCTGTTTGTCTGAAACACCCTTGTTTCCACCAGCTTCTCTCTCAGTTTCAGCCTGACAATGTCCATAAAGATCAATATTAAACGACAACCAATTCAATTTAGTCTAGAAAGGAAGCAAAAATAAAACCACTTAGATCACCAAAATCACAGAACATCAACTCAATCAACTTGAAATCTAAATCAGAATCACATCACCCAAAGAAACATTCCTAGGAAAATATCTCTTAAGTGAACCATAACCATAAAATAAGAACATAGCACTGCTCCCTGATATAGCATCTGCTATACATTGACAAGCATGGTTCAAAGATAAGTCTCAACTCTATACACCAAGCTTCACAGTCCATAGACTCAACACACCAAAACAAATCTTGTGTCATGAGGACAACTTGTGATAAGATTATCCATGACAAGGACAAAAGTTGTAACTACAAAGGAAAGCACAAAAGAAGTGCATCTACACCTACATTACAGCAATGCCAGCAGAGAAACACGTGTAGATATACACCATTCAGTAAATAAGGCCAACACGATTCCTATTTGAACCATTAAAAGGAAGAAAAGTTCGAATTTTTCTCATTAAAAGTTATCCAAATCTACTTGTCAAAGTATACACACAAAGTTATACATAGACCATCCTATCTTTCCGCTGTAGCCAATGGCAGCACCATGTTGGGTTCTAGATATTTAAAGGGTTTTTACATTGTCTGTATCTTCTCACAATCAAATACAAGAACAAAAGTCTTCTACATTCTACTAACACAGAAGCTAGCACACGTGCCAACTGGGTCAGGTTTCAAGTGCCAGAATTATACCCGGATAAATCAAATCATCTTTCTAATAGTTTCAAACACTATATGGAAAGAAAAACCAATATTTTCCAGCATTTACATGAACATCGAAAAGTACATATTTTTAAAAGTTTCATTCAATTACCACCTACATATTCAATATTAGCATTAACTGGTTGCTCACTGCATCCCTGAAAAGACACCAATAAAATATGGATTGTGCATAAACCTGAATTTCCCTCCGGATATCATTGAAATCAAAGAACTTCTTCCCAGGCAAATGCAGGAACTCCCCCCACTCCTCATCTGTACTATCGTTCTTCCTCTTCCTCTGCACAAGCTGCAGCACAAGCGGACGGCGTGTGCAGATATCATTGCCACGTGGCAGGAAATCGCGCCCAACTAGAGCCTCCAGCACACTGGACTTGCCGCTACTCTGGCTCCCGACCACCGCCACCTGCGGCAGCTCAATAGTCGACTGACTTCCAAGCTGCGCGAATATGTCCTGTAGCTTGTTCACAATCGGTATTACCGAGTGTCCTAACGGCGCTGCCGCCGCAGTATTATTGGCCGCTGCCGCCGCAGTATTGTTGGCCGTGGCCGCCGATTGTTCCTCCGCCATGGAATCTGGTGTGACGAACAACTTCAAGTTATGCTATTTGAATTGCTAAGTAGAACTCAAATGAATACTTCTGGACTAAGATCCGGTGTTAAAGATCGGGAGTAGGAGTTGAAACCCTAGGTAGGGGTGTGGTGTGCTGATATAGCTCAAATGGTGATATGAGAAAAGTTCTTAGAAAGGGGAGCACCAATTACAGATTATTGAGATCCGACTCGTACAGCCACAGAGAGAGGGAATGATTTTGTTACTTATAAAAATCGGGCCAAGGCACCGGCGCCCGATTATCGTTTAAGCGGATCCTACTAAAATACATAGGGTGAGTTATTTATATAAGAAACACGGATCGTATTTTTTTTTTTAACGGTCGAATTTAATAATAATAATAGTTCTAATTTATAACACGGATTTTGAAAATCTATTTTTTTAAAAAAAATAAAAACGATTAAAACGGATTTTGGAAATTCGTGTTTAATAAAAAAAACGAATAAAACGGATTTTCAAAATCCGTTTTTTGGTTGACATAACCAAGCAAAATCCTCTTCAGACCACTGCGCATTCGTTTTTGTTTCATAAACATATTTTTGTGTCTTTTGTTCGATTTTCGGCGAATTGAAGCTTTCAAAAAAAAATAAAAAATTTAACCAATCATCGGAGAAGAGGTTAGTTTTTATTTTAATGTAATGTAATATTATTTTTTTGTTGTTTATGAATGTTTAAGATATATATTTGGTTAATTGAGTATTGTTTATAAAATCTTGAATGTTGGTTTAATAGTTGTGTTAAATGGTTATAATTTGTTATTTGCTATTGTTTATAAAATCTTGAATGTTGGTTTAATGTATGTTGAATATTTATCCGAATTGTTTATGAATTTGATGTTATTGTTGGATTATGGTGATTAAGGTTTTGGTGGTGTTTTTTGATAAATTATGGTGATTAGGGTTTTGGTGGTGTTTTTGATAAATTAATTGACAATTTTATTTTTTATTTTTTTTGTTGGAGTAAAAATATGATTAAATATGTGTTGTTGTAATTTGTAAAATAGAATTTTTTTTTGTGCAACAGGTTATAAATGGCGTCTAACGGTCCTTACTTTGTTAATGTGTACTGGAAAATTCCCCAGAGTGAGTTATGGAATTTTTAGAATTATATGTCTCGTCCGGATTGTTCATTTGTTATTAATGTAATAATATCATATGAACAATTGGTAGATATGATTTACGAAAATGGTGGGTTTCGTGATAGTTGGACAATTTCGGATATTACTTTGATAGCCAGACAACAGGATGGTTCGTTTATTCCCGGAAGACTGAATAATGATAATTCTCTTTCGTGGATTTACTACTTTCCTCCTATGTCCTATGTGTTTCTGTATATAGTGTTGGAATCAAACACACAGGTTACACAGATTGAGGATTCTACGCCATCATATGGTTATGAGGGAATGTTTGGTGGTGAGGGTACGTGGACTATGCATGCCGGTAATTTTGGTGAAGGGACGAGTAATTTCTGCGAAGGAACGAGCTTTACCATGAGAGGACCGGACATTGAGGAAGAAATTGTTGGAGATGAAGATTTCAGTCCCGGGGAAGATGATTTCACTGATGAGACCTCGAAAACCGAATCGGACAGATCAATTAATGAGGAGAGCGAACAAGAATTCATTGAAGAACACCCATTTCCAAATGAAGGCCTCAACGTATATCGCGAGATGGGTGAGTGGGACTCGTCGTGTGTAGACGGGGAAGAGTACGCCTTGCCAACCTGGAATGGGCATGTCGAGACTATCCGTTTGGGTACAGTTTTTCGTACCAAGGAAGAAGCCCGGATTGGTATTAATGTCTGGAATGTTGAGAAGCTTAGGGCGGTCCGGACAAAAGATTCCAACAAGAAGTCGTTCAAAGTTGTGTGCAGATCAGATGAAGTTGTACCATGTATATGGAAGGCCCGGGTGAGTCTTAACAAACGGGATCACGACATGTGGGAGGTAACCAAATGGACCGATAGCCACACTTGCATGCAGGTGTTCGAGAGAAATGACCACAAGAATGTGACCGCCACCATGATCTTAAATCTTCGGTTGGCTAAGATTCAGAAGCAGGTGACCTACAGTGTGGAAATGGTCCAGGCCGACGTAAAAAGCGCCTGGAGCAAGAATGTCGGGGACCAGGACTACGACCCCAAGACTTGGGACATTTCAGGCCCTGTATTTCAGTAGTCTGGAAGACGAGTGCAAGCGACCACTGGAGGATGGACTCCCTACATCAGAGTACGAGAGGAGGGCGAGAGCCCTCATACTCTGGTGTATTGGGTCCTTCTTCTTCCCCTCTCATCGGGCCAATGGAGTCAACCTCTACTGGCTGTCCCTGTTGAATGTCATCAATGCCATTCTGGGGTACAGCTGGGGTAGAGCGCTTCTGGCCGGGGTATATAGAGCGCTCTGCGACGCTTACAAGAGGGAAAAAAAATATATCAAGAGCTGCGTGCAGTTGATTCAGGTAACATTATTTACTTGTTAATTGTAAATTAATTTTATTTATTGTAAATTACAATAATATGTGCTAAAAAATGTATATGTCCATATGCGCAGGTTTGGGCATGAGAACGCATCCCTCGTGTTCGTCCAATCATGAGAAAAATGCATTTTGGCTCTCAGGTTGGTTGTCTCTTGGGTGCAAGGTAATAATACCCCATTTATTTATATTCAACTCTTAAGTTATTTCAATTATCAAATTTTTTAATTACAAATAGTTTTTTTCTGTGATTTTTAAGGTGGGTGGGATCGAGGGACATGAGGCACCTGGGGACGGGCACGGCTACCATCCGAGATCAGCTGAGTGGCCTGAGAGAGACTGATGTAAGTTTCTTAGGTCATAATAATAAATAATTGTTATTTTTTTAATTCTATTTTTTTTATTAAATTCATTAATAATTCTATAAATATTTTTTTTTACAGTTCGATTGGGTACCCTATCGACGTACATAGACAATATTCACAGAGACTGCTAATTTGTGATTTTTATTATTATTATTATTATTATTATTACTATTATTGAAGTTATTATTATTATTATTATTTTAATATTTAATAGATATTTGAATTTTATTTTCAGAATTCGGGTACGGAGGGGGCGTATAACATGCTATCAAATATTGAAGACATTGATACGCTACCTCCCCGAGCGCAGACACAGTTCTAGCAAGCCCAGGAACTTCTGTACGCTTCTCTGACTGTTGGGGGTCAGTCGGTCACATAAGGGGCGTCGTCGGAGCAAATTTTATCTCAAGAGGAGTACGCCCCACCCCAACAGACACAGTCCCAGCGGGCGAGGCATAGATCGACGTCCCACATTGGTGGAGGGAGAAGATGCCGTGACCGCGAACCCGCCGCTGCATTCCCCGGAAATGAAGAAGACGAAGAAGGTGAGATTTTTTTATTTAACTACAAATATATATATATTTTTGCTTGTTTTTATTTATTTATCCGGTCGAATTACTGATTTTTTTCCAAAAATTAATTAATTAGGTGAAGAAGAAGAACCAGTCACGCCTGGACCGACCGCAGGATCGTCTTCTTCGGTATCACGGCCTCGGAGAGGGTCCCGAATACGTAGGCCTAAGCATGCATATACTCCTAGTTAGTTAGTTTGTTTTGTATTCTGTGATTTTGTGGATATTATCTTTTTTCTTTTATTTTTTGTACTGGATTTTCAGATATTTATTCTTGATGGTTTTGTATACATATTTTGTGGTTCACTTTTTTTTTTATCGGTAATTGTGGTTGACTTTTTTAATATAGTGTTTCGTGTATGTATGTATGCATGGTAGATTTATAATTTGACGAATGAATTGATATTAAAGTGATATTATTTCATGTTCAAAATGTTAAATCAAAATTTATAAAAAACCTTAATATTGAAGGATAAGAATAAAAACTCAGCTAAAATAAACGCGATTGCTGGTAAACAAGTTCGTGAGCATCAAAGAGTCGAGCTTAACAAAAAAAAATAAAAATAAATAAATACAAGAAACACAGATTTCTAAAATCCGTGTTTATAAAAAAAAAATTAAATATTTGAACACGGATTCGCATAATCCGTGTTATCATAGAACACGGATTATGAGAATCCGTGTTACCTAACACGGATTTTCGAAACACGTTTTTACTTGAATTAATTAAGGGTAATCACGTCATTAAGGAAACACGGATTGTGAAAATCCGTGTTTCAGTCAGAATTAGGCAAACGCGGATTCTAAAAATCCGTGTTTAAGTTAAACACGGAGTCTCAGAATCCGCGCGTTTGAGTTTTGTCCACACCCTTTTTTTTTAATTATTTTGAATTTTTGTTTATTTTATTTAAATAAATGATTCAAAATACATAACTACTCNTATATAAACTTTTTTTTTTTTAACAAACCACCACCTTACCTTTACGGCTTGTCAAATTGCCATTTAAATCAGATATAAAAATAATTTTGACTAAGAAAACTAATTTTTAAAGATATTTAAGTAATTTCATATATTTTTCAAAGAATGGTACGATGGCACCAACAGCCACCTGCAAACTCTAATCTCCGACGACCTCGAGCACCAACTCCGCCCTCACAAACCGAGTTGAAAGCCAGTCCCCAAAGGAAAATTCTCGGATTGGCTAAAATCTCGAGACCAGAAACTCCTCCAAGCTCCCGGCGGCTCGATGGCCGACGTGGTGGTGGCAGTGAACAACACCGGAAATTTCACGAGCATCACGATAGCCATTAAGGCGGCCCCCAAGCGTAGCCGGACAAGGTTCGTTACTTATATAAAACGAGGCGTGTACAAGGAGTACATTGACAATATTGATAACAAGAAATGGAATATAACGTTGGTCGGGGATGGTATAGATGCCATCGTCATTACGGGTGACCACAACAATGCTACTGGCTAGTGCACTTATTTTCTAAGCTATGCATGATTATAAATATAAGTAAATTTATTATTATTTTTATGATCTCATTCACCTGCTCGTGGTCGAGAAGGCCAACGAAGTCTAGTCGAGCCACGGCTGATTCTCATGCATTGAACGTGAAGTTGAAGTATTGCAGGCTCGCAGGGCTGATCTTGTCGAGGAAGGCGGGAGAATTAATACTGCTCGGTGACCTTTTGATGGTAGGTATCGAGGAACACATAACTCATGGGAGATTTCAAAAAAGTCTTGCGTCCCTCGATAAGCCCTGCCTCTCTCTCCGCCATGGCTTCGACTTCTTTCTCATCATTGGCCTTCTCGAGGTTGGCCCTCAGCTTCTCAATCTCATGAAGGGCCACAGCTTTATCGGCCTTTAGTTTGGAGACAAGAGCTTGGCTAGCCTCGAGCTCCTCAGTCTTTTCGTCGAGCTGCTTTACTTTGGCTTGATATTTTTCGCCCAAAGAATTCATGTTGGAGTGGGGGGAAGCAATCTCTTTCAGAAAGGTAGAATAGCTGCAAGGAGCTACAAAAAAACAAAATACAAGGCTCAAATTTAATTAACACAATATAAAACAATGTAAAGGAAAGCAAAGAGAATACCCTCGGTATATATGGTCTGAATTGCATAACATGCACGGTTATAGGGGTCACCATCGAGACGAGCATTATCACTCTCAAGGAGAGTGGATTAGAGGTATTCAGCGACCTCGTGAGCATGTGGATTATTATGAAGATGAGAGGGCCGCTCCAGAGTGAGCGGCCCAACCTTAATGGGAGAATGAAGAGGCTTCTCGACCTCCTTGTCCTTTCCCTTTTGACACTTAGTATTTTTGGGCAATAGCTTAAAAGCCCGTTGATCGAGAGCTCGCTTGCGCGAGTGAGAATCGGATGAGTGTTTGGTGGACTTCTTAGTGGTGCGAGGACTCTCTGTCCTCGCATCGCGATTAGCGATTTGCTCAACCACTATCGTTTTTTAACCCAAGCCTAAACCAGCCTCGGGTTTCTTCTGCTGTTGTGAGAGTGGGGGATGCGAGGACCCGCCCCCGGGTTTCTGCTTTTTAGTCTCGAACAATTGGAGATAAAAATCTGAGATAAAAACAACGCATCCCCGCCCTCGGGTTTCTGCTTTTTGGTCTCGAACTGATAGGTCGAAAAATGTGCATGTTTTCTATAGTCAATAGTGTATTCTTATACACTTGATTTATTCGCACATCTATATTTTTTAACTTATTTATTATTTGGATGAATTCGTGTATTTTGATATTTTATTATCTATTTTCAACAATTTGAAGAATATTCGGAGATGTCAATGGATAAGACCTGTAATGTTGAATAATCGGCCCGAAGAGAATGAATTGGGCCCAAAATAAATCAAACCTGGGAGTCGTAGACGTGGGAAAAATAACTCACAGGGGAATGAATGATTTGTGTTGCCATGTGACATGCAACTAACAGTTAGCATGACTTAATTAGAAAAGAAACAATAAGAATTTGAGAAGGAAAATGACAGCAAGACTCACGCATTGTTTTGAGTCTTTGGAGGATTTATTTGCGCATAGAGAGGGCCATGAGGATTGATTTTTTTTTTACAAAGAGAATTATTTTACGAGAAAAGCAGCAAATATGCGAGCAGAGAAGAAAAATAAGAGACAGTGAGGAGAAGCAGAGAAAGAGGCATCGCGGAGGGAAGCCGCACTTGCACACAAGGGAGATTATTATCTCTGTCTTTTATCTTTTATTTATTCCATTATTAGTATGTTAGGCTAGGATTTTTATCCAGTTTTAGGGGATGTTTGAACCCTAACTTTGATTTATCTATGGATTGAAGGATCTATTTATTTATTGTTCATTAATCTAGACGCCGTATTTATTTTGGTTAATGAGTTGATTCATGCTATCTATGTTTAATGTATATGAATTATGTTGTTTGATACGTTAAATATTCATAATTTTATTGCTAGATTCGAGACTTTAATCCGTAATTGTTATAGTCTTGTTTTGTTAGTAGTAAACTAGGGGTCATGCATCTCTAGGGTAGCGTAAACATAAGTTAAACGGACTGAGCTTTTGCGTCCATTGCTTAGACTAATCTATTTTCCTAGAATTAATGTTGCTAGTGAATTAAATATAGAGAGTTTATTCTAGGTTGTCCACTAGTTAGGTTTAGTCGAAGAGCTTACTTCGATTAAATAATCGGTAAGGGAAAATTCGGTTAACAGAGCTTATTATAAAAATAAAAATAACAAAAAATAAAATAAAAAAAATGAGAGAAGTCCAGTTTTCGGTTCAGTTATCACCCAACAACCAATCCCCCCACCTTTTATTGCTTTCTTAGTTGTAATTCAATTAATACAAGATTGTCACAATTTAATTCATACTCCTCGTGGGATCGACCCTTACTCGCCGCTATACTAGTTAGTAGAGGTTTGTTAAGGAAAAAATTATAAATTCAAATTTGCCGCGTCGCGATGCGCGGTCACGAACCATTGGAGATAAAGTCTGAGATAAAAACAAGGAAAAGAAAAGTTAGAATAAGACAAAGGTACAAAAGCTCGAGAGGATAAAATGACGACTTACTGAGATCCTGAATCCAAGAGGCATCTTCATCCTCACTTATACCACATTGGTTTCATAAGGAAATATCCTTAACCAACTGACGAGCACTCCAAGTGTGCTTATTCAGATCGTCCACCACTGCCTCTAATTGGGCAGATCGTGGTCTTTTATGCTGGCTAACTTTCTCTGTTAGCCAGGTGTTTGTAAAAGAACAGTAACCAGGGGGAGGACGAATATAAAGAACTTCGATTTTCACTCAGTCACGTTTGAGGCAAGATCGTCCAAGAAAGTGACCTCATTACGACAACCTAAGCAATGAGCCTCTCTTATGAACTTATATCCGTAACAGAATAAAAACTCGGGCGAGAACTTGTCGAGCTTTATTTTCGAGATCGTGATAAAGGCTACCATGATAAGAATGGAGTTAGGGGCGAACTGATTTATGGGAATATGATACAATTTGCTAAGTGTGAGCAGTTGGGGTTGAACTGGGAACGAAGGCCAAACATGACTTGGTCCATAAAGAAGGTATAATAGTCGCAATGAGGATAAGCATAACTGTCTTTAGGACCAGGAGTGATTAGGTCCCAATCAAAGGGTAACCCGCAATATGCCTTAAAGCCCACAAGCTCGGCTGCAGGGGAATAAGAAAAGAGGTTTAAAGTAGCTATTTTCTAAAAGGCATGCAATTGTTACAACATTATGAGGCTCGGGAAGAGAAGCAATTATTGGTACAGGAATTGGGCTCGTTTTCTATACAAGAATATCTAAAAACCTAATGGGTATACCTCGAGGGATAATATAGCCACACTTGCACAGATCGAAGTGTTGATAGCTCGACCGGGTCATAAGTCGAGCTACTCATGCCAACTCGAGCTGGGGGTATCGATCTGCGATTATTATCATAGAAAGATGACGATTACGACTGGAGTGACTGTGATTCGGGATCCCTGATTTCGACTTATGAGAGATAACGACTTGGAGAGATGAATATAATCATAGGGCAGCTTGACACAGGCGAAGAGATGAGTAATTCAAGAACCTCGCGGAGGATCCGAGAACGGCTAACGAGAGCGCAGTAGTGGCTCCACTCGGCCCTACAAAGAACTCCAGTCGACCTCCATCTCGAGGTTGACTTCACTCACCTCCCAACTCGCATGTTACACCAATGAAGGTTATACTTCTATGTTGGGTAAGCTTAAGAGATAAGGATGAATCTTAAAGGGATAAGATGGAATCTGAAGGAGACTAGGATCTGACTAAGTGACAATGAAATAATCACGGAAGATTCGGGCAGTCGAGCAGGTTGACCGCGGGCACTCGGGCAGGGTATTCCCGGTAGGTAGTTTCCCCTGTAAAAGGGCCTAAGGTATCACCATATCACAACTTTACATTCTACATATATTTCATACTGCCCTTTTCTATAGATCATCACCATCTTCTTGATACTTACTTAAACATCGGAGACTCTTCGCCGGAAATCCCTCCGACGTTGAGTTCTTGCAGGTGTTCGTAGTGATTCAGGCAGTTCTTCCAAAACATCATTTATTTGGTTAATTGTTGATAAAGCCAAAATAACATTTAAAAAAAATTGTGATAGTAGTAAAAACAAATCCAGGTAGATATGTAAATATTTTTGAATGAATTCGTGCATGTCATAATTTTCTCTTAGTTTATTATATCAAGTTTATTAATTTGGCTCAAATGGGCTAGTAGTAGTAATAGTGTAATACTAGGGAAATATGGATCATGTGACTTGCGTCTCCTTTTCGTGAGTTCAGTAGCAACAGAACATAATTTTTAGCTTGAAGCTATTCATCATTGGTGACTAAAAAAAAAAAATCCAAAATGTAGATAATTTCTTAGTTTTTACTCAAATCTACAATTACATGTAATAAGGATCAGCAAGGAACGTCATATAGGAATAACCTAACAAATGTAACGTAGAAAACGTGTACCATACATAACCCGCTTTAGTCATTACTCGTAGTTGTTGGAAAGCAAAAGGTATTAAGAAAACAAACCAAACATGTTTATGCTATTTTCCTCAAACTTGGAAGCCAACTTTGACATTTTGCGGCAGTGCCATCAGGATACACTATTCGCTCCATAAATTAGGTTGATTTAATTGTGTAATATTTTTTCAATAATTATACATACCTACGTTTTCATATTAATATACCATAATTTAAAAAAAAAATATATATATATATACAACAGTATGATATTTCACAATATATATTTATGGTATATTATATCTGAAATTGACTTGAAACATCACCCGCGCTAACAACTTGTAATTCGTATAGCATTACAATTTATAAGACTTGTTGTACAATTCGTATAACATCAATGTTTATCAGATTTGTTATATATTCCATGTAATATTTAATAAGATATAATCATGACAATCTCCCTTTGAGAAAGCTCACGCATAGTTTCTTCCATGCTTGGGTATCAGCCTCAAACTCTCCCAACTTAGACTTTACCTCCTTCCCAAGTGATTCCTGCAAGTGTAAAAGCCATCAAATTAAAGCACATATTTCACATTAACTGCCTACACAGAGAAAATTGCAATTTTAGTCCAGTAACTTAGGCTGTTTCCCACTTTAGTCCAGTAACTTGGACTGATCCAAAATTGGTCCAAAAACTTCTAAAATGTAGTTAAATTAGTCTAATTCCAGTCCCCGTCGCCAGAATCCGATCGGAACGTGCTGAGTTGGCAATTCGGATTCTGGCGACGGGGACCGGAATTGGACTAATTTAACTACACTTTAGAAGTTTTTGGACCAATTTTGGATCGGCCCAAGTTACTGGACTAAAGTGGAAAACAGCCTAAGTTACTGGACTAAAATTGCAATTTTCTCGCCTACACATATACATATACCTGAATGATGTTGCGGGTGATAAGACGGTGAATCAAGTGCAAAAGGATATCCTTAGTGTACTCTGGGTGGCCTTGAATACCCATAACATGCTCCCCATACACCAACATCTCCACCCCAGTCTTGTCCGACCATGCTAACACTTCCGCCTTTGGAGGAATTTCCCGTACCTATAAGTTTTCGTCTTTTTAATTTCATTTACTATCAAACTAAAAACCTCATATACGATCGAAAATTTCATTTAATATATGAAATTAGATACCTCGTCCTGGTGGCACTCGATGATGGAAAGAGAAGACGGAATTTCCAAACAAGCCGGAAATCGCGAGTTCTTCATATTGACTTTAGTAATCCCGATATCCCATCCCGTCTTCGACCGCTCTACCCGTCCCCCAAGAGCTCGTGCCAATATCTATTTGACATAATTAAAAAAAAAAAAAAANAAAAAAACGATGTGGATATATAATAAAATGTCATATGAAAAATATTAGTCCGCGAGTGTATATATGCCTGATGACCAAAGCAAATGCCGAGAATCTTCTTTTCTAAGGCGAGCAGCTTGTGGAGCAGAGATAGGAGGGTGAGGATCCACGTGTCATCACTGTGGGCGTCGTTGCAGCTTCCGGTGATGACGAAGCCGTCGTAGTCTCCGAGCACGTCGTCCGCGGGAAAAGTGCCGCCTGCCACGTGGTACATGTCCCAGGTCTCACCGTCTTCCTTCAGCATGCGCAGGTAAACGCCGTAATAACCGCCGTGAGTCTGCTTTATGTAGTCTGAATCCTCCGCGCACATGAGGATCGCGAACTTTGGGCCCACCATTTTTCTCACTCTCTTTTTATTTATGTATATATATATGTGTGTGTTGTCTGTGTAAGTATGTTATGTCTAGAGAGAGAATGTATGATGGAAAGGTTTAACGGACGTCTTAGGTTTATACGGCTTTTATATACGAAATATGAGAGTAGTTGGAATTTGAATTTTCATTTT